CTGAAATGCTAGAAGTAAACTGATTATAATATTTTTTATTGCTTAGGTCATCTTCCCATTTGGAAACTTGTCGATACTTGCGTCGGATCGAGCCGGCTCTTCTCAAACAGCCGTTGAGCCAGTTTGGGAAACACTTCAAAGGCTAAGCTTTGCATATGATTGGAGAGTGATCAGAAAGGAAGAAAATGGTTTGAAGCAAAGTTTGGAAAGTACAGTGAATTTGAAGTCCCTACGAAATTAGTGAATCATTCTTAGATACTAGTGCAGAAAACCGCATTCTTTCCCATAAGCGAAAAAGATGCATTCGTTATCTCGATAAAATACAAACATCAGCAAGTATTCAATATTTTTTTGTCAAGCCAAAGTTTATTTTCTAGCTTAAATATCCAAGCACTTCTACAAGGTATTGGAGAAACGATTAACGACTTTTCTTAGGATAGGAAAAGCGCTTTCAGAATGTATATATCACTTGGGAAAAAATTCAAAAAGAATATAACGTGTGAAGAATAATTAGAGAAATTTATGAAACATGATAGAACACATAAATGCAAAGTTTATTTTTGTTGCGGAGTCTCGCAAATACGTTGGAAGTCACTGAGAAGCTAACGATGCATCTCATGCCACTGATTGACATACTTACAAACTCTTTATGTAGAAAAGCTTGTCTCTGTTGAAGAGCACAATCCTCATATTAAAATGTTTCGAATACACCTCGTATCTTGTCTTTTACCCTCTTTTTTGAGGCGTTTATGTAGGTTGTGCAGATAATTTATTATAAGTCCTCATGCGGTAATTATAAACAACATCTTGGTGCTAATATAAGTCAGCGGTCTTCTTCACAAGCATGGATTTTTGGCAAAGGCGCAGTCGTTTGCAATCATCTTTCATCTGCCGAAAGTAATGATGGTCAGGAGGTGTTTACCTACAGAATATGCTACATTAGTTTTGATTTTACACATTAGCCTGAAACTGGACAATCACCAAGACCTAGATTTGTTATAAGGCTTCAAACACATCTTTTCAAATGACCTCGCTTTTGTTAGTTAAACCTCTACTACGCCAATGTTTGCTCTTGAGCACTGCGCTGGATTTATTTGGAAAAGATTCTTTGATTGTGCACTACAAATCATTGAAGCCAATGGAGAATACCCGTGCTAACCTCAATATATTTGATAAGGCTGGAGCTGCCTCCTACAATTTGCTTAGCAAACTCGACTTTTAATAATTATTTTTCTTTTGCGCTAAAACGAACTCAATACAAAGAAAAGTACTGAAGTACAGGAGTTGCAAATATAAAAGCTTTATCAAAAGCAGTCTTCATTACTATTCTCATAGTTCTCTTTGTTTTGCTTTATCCCAACAGACATGTAAC